ACTTCGACCTGCAGTCCGAAATTTTATCAAATTTTCACACACCCAAGTCATTTGTTTGGTAAAATTTCGAGAATTATAGATTTACACACATTTTAATCGATAGAACTCAATACAATCAAAATGAGATATATACACTATATATCCCAGAATTCAAACAAGAGGTATGATTGATAAAGGATAAAACTGGAATCTCTGGCTTAGAATAATTGCAAAACGAGCACTTTTCACAATCACCAAAAATGCAATACTTTCAGAACTAATTATTACAATTTATTGTATGATTTTCATTACAAAAGGGTTTGACAGAAACCGCGGTATATGTTTCGCTATACAATAGCTATTCCGCTTGAGGAAGCTTTTGTATAGCAAAACACGTGTCGCGGTATCGGTAAGTTCTATTAAATGCAATACTATTCTCGATACGCGATTCACTAACCACGTTGGCGTCCTCAGACTGAGTTGACGTCTTCAGACGCCAAGTTGGTTGGTGAAACGCTCGTCGAAAAGAGTATTGCATTTCTGGATAGAAAAAAGTGGTCGTTTTGAAGGAACGATAGACTAAAAATTGTTGAATTTCATTCAGAAATTGTGTGATTGAGTTCTATTTGGTCGGAATTGAATTTCAGGAATATTTTTAGTCGACCTTGACTGACAAAAGTTTTCAGGATAAAAAATTATGGCTAGCACAAATATTTAGTCAGAAATATTTAGTCAAAGTTTCTTAATGAATGTTACATATGCTTACTCCTATTGTTTAAAAAACTGTTGAAATATATGAAAAAATAATTCTGATAAATTTTTTTGAATGAATCGAATATTGATGTTATTCTAAAAATAAACATTCCGACCGAAAGCAGGAGGTTGCATATCTTAATGAGGATCTAGAAATGATTTCGAATTGGGGTGAAAGTAACCAGGTTCAATTCAATGCCACAAAAACCCAGAACATCGGTTTTCTCCAAAAAGATAAATGTCTTCGAAGCGGGTATAATAATTTCAGGACAAACAATTCCGCTTTCTGCTCCGATGAATTTGTTAGAGGGTAAAATGGACACAAATATGTCTTGTCGCTGTCAATCATGTCGATGGAAGCAAAGGCTGCTTCTCAAAAGCTTGAATCAGAAAACTGTACACACCTCAGCAACTTTTGATGCTTTATAAAGCTCAGGTCAGACATTCTTTGGAGTATTATTCTCATGTATGGAGCTCCGCCCCTAAATATCCTGAAGCTGCTGGATTCCATGTAGAAAAGTTTGAAACATCGAAGTAAGGTTGGTTTTATTCTAAATTCATGTGAATTGAATATCTGTACTTCAAAATATAGCGATACGTTATCTCTTCAAAATGAAACAACAAGACTCCTGTAGGCCTTTATTCATCATAAATAATATTTTGACAGTGTATGCGATTTTCATGTTAGAAACGGCCTGTTCCATAAACATGGACGAAAAATGAATCATGCCATTTGATGAGAGCTATGTATGTAGGTAGGTCGGTAGATCTAAAGTGAGTGGGTCTATTCGACCCTCCACCGCAACCCGCAGGTGTTTATTGTTGCTCACACCTATTCACACTCAGCCAAATAAACCCAGCTTCTTAACGAAGCCGATCAGTATGTATGGTGAGTGGTCTTTCAGGTCAGATGGTGAGAGTACGGATCTGCCAAACTCAAAGAACCTGATTCGGTCCTCAGCGGGGCGGGCACAAAGTATATGCTCTGCTCTTTCATCATTTTCTAGACAGAGGCGACACACACTGTCTTCCAACAGTCCAAGTCTTTGCATATGATGATTCAAATGACAGTGACCTGTGAGAAGGCCTGTTATGCATCGTAGTTCATCCCTACTGTAGTCCAACAACTGTTTGGAATCAAAGTTAGAAAGGTGAATAAACGCCTTGGAGTGAGCCAATCCTGGAAGATTCTGCCAGAAGTCCATAAATCTTCTTGCCATCCAGGTGTTTAGTGTTTGTTTGGCAAAGCCCAAAGCGATGCCAATGACAGGTTCTGGTCCAATGAAGCCGCTTGCAGCACCCTCCTTTGCAGGAGAGTCCGCAGCTTCATGGCCTTCCAGGCCAGTATGTCCAGGAATCCAGACCAGAGACAATCTGTTAAGTCTTTCCATCGAGAGTCGTTTTTGGCAGTTTGCTACCAATTTAGACGTTGCTCGGTAGGAGCCAAGAACTCCAGAGCTATGTATGTACTGGTTACCTATGTATGAACTTACCAATAAAACTAATTTTCATTATTATCGGTAATTCAAGACTGCCTATACGCACCTCAAAATTTACTGAAAACTCAGTAATCTACAGCGGCCTAAAAATATTCAACCACCTACCAATAAACGTTGAATGTATGAACACCTCCTCAGAATTCAGAAAAGCAATCAAAATTTTACTCTCTGATAGATCCTATTGAAGTTTGGATGCATTTTATGATGATAACTTCCATTAACACTTATTCTGAATTACATCCTACCCCAACTTAATGTGAATGTCAAACTAAATTATACGTTAATTATACGTTTCATCTAGCATCTGCTATAACTCATTATAGGTTTTGAATTATATAGTATATATTTAAATTATATAGTACTAGTACTATGTTGCTGTATCGCTGCTGTTCCAATGTTTTGACAGAATCAGAATCAACGAACTTAGTCGGGCGCAGCGTTATAGAACAGTGCTTTCAAAAAATTGTTCTACAGCGACATCTAGTGGCGAGTTATAGAAAAATTGATAACCTAAAAACCTTCTCTATGAAAAATTACTTATACATGTCAAGTTTCATCACGATCGGTTGATCGATATAAAAGTTTATCACTTACCAACCAACCAACCAACCAACAAACATCCATTTTTATATATTAGATTCATATATGCTCGGATACATTTTATCTTACCACACACGCTTTGTCAACAAGATGCATTCTTCTAACAATAAAGCTTATTCGTTATCATTGTTTTTATTATACCTAGCCCAAATTTGAGTCTGCAACATTCATATCACAAAAGAGGAACATACATATATCTGTTAAGTCTTTCTACATGGTGTTTCTATAGTTTTTTTTCAAATTCATTTTCAGACTAAGCGAACGAAAATACTCTACAACTATTCATCTTTTACACATTTATGTATGTATGTGAATACATATGTCACGTAGGTTCCCATTTCATTCATAACAGATTTTTTTCTTGTATCGGTAAATTTAACGCTTCATTTCTGTATTGGATTGTATTGTATCTAAATTGTATCAATATATTAATTACTATTATTGAAAATAGAAAACATTTCGTCAACAATAACTGTATGTGTCCAACTAATGCATCAATCAAATGAAATGAAGCAAATGAAATAATAGGTGAATTAATTAAAGACTGATTATTCAAAACAATTAAAGGTAGAACGACATTTCATACTTCACTAGGATCTACAAATGTATGCCGAAAAATACTCAAATACTACTCTCAAGTTCACCGCCTACTGTTATCTAGTTTGTACCTTTCCTGCACTGATCTATAAACGAAACTTACACACGTACATCAGATGTATGATACAATATCTATCGTGGTTAGCTATTATATTCCTTTCCAGCAAGCATTTTCTAGATTTCACGTTGTAGGAAAACATGAACGTTTATGCAACTTCATGGGATACTTTTTTACTGTTTGGGGCTTCATTTACTAGTTGGAGCTGCTGATTGTCAACAGAGTTTGTCTCAGACGAAGATTTTGTATAACGAAGAAATCAATCAACATTTCAGGTTAGAGTAGAGGGCTCTCTGTCTGACAACAGAGAGATCCTCGCTGGGGTGCCACAGGGAGCTGTGCTCTCTCCCACGTTATACTCGCTCTACACCAGCGACTTCCCGAAGTCCGAGCGTGTGAAGGTGTCTCTCTACGCCCGATGGCACGGCTCTCCTCTCATCTTCCATTGGGCGAGAGCTCGGGACCGTCTACATGCAACGCACATTGGACGACTTCGAGCACTGGTACCTTGAATGGAAGATCCGAGTAAATCAAGAAAAAACTCAGGCAATAACAATGGAAAAAACAATATATTCTCCGGCTATGACAGTGAGGGTATCTGGAAGGAAGATCAACTGGCAAGCGCGAGTAAAGTACCTCGGCCTCCAAATACATAGTTGGTTCACCTGGAACCCACACATTTTATACTTTCAAACAAGGATCGAGGGCGTGATAGCCAGTCTGTACCCTTTGATCAACAGAAGATCTAAAATGAGCCTCGAAAATTAAATTAAAATCCACAACACGTTGTTCAAGCCTGTCATCATGTATGCATCGGTTGTCTGGGGACATGCGGCTCCGTCTCCGTCTCCATTCTGGAAAGTTCGCAAAGCAAGATGATACGGATGATTTTGAATGCTCCGTGATTCGTGCGGAATGAAGCCATCCGCAGAAATTTGCAGCTGCCTTCCATTCGGCAGTCCATTCAGTCGAGGAATCAGCGAGTTTTTGATTGCGCAGAAACTCACGATAATCCGTTACTTAGGAAAGCTATAGATTATACTGTAGACAACCCCTTCCGATATAGAAGGCCCCTACACTCTGTCGAATGAGCCCCCCATATCCCCCGTTAACAGATGAACAATTTTTTCATCCATTCCACCCCAACCAGGTAGGGGACACCGTGAAGGGCGACACTGATGTCTGAGGACATTCATGTCATCCCACCATGAGTCATGACCCATTTGTCCCTCTAAAAAACATCAGTTGAATGGGTAAGGAAGCCAGGCTCCAACCTGACCTAAAACAAGACGACTTTCCACCAAGAAATCATTCGAGTTTCGTCTTGACTGGATACTTTCCTCACTGACGATATGCATTTATTCATATCAAGTTTTCAAACAATAGGAATAAATAACTCGAAGAAAGTGTTTATGCGGGTTTTTTTCATTAAAATATCAAAATAATCGTCAAGTACGCTATTGAGAGTGTAATAAACATGTGAGAGAATAAAAATTCAAAAATAAAACAAATGCTCAACTCATAAAACATTTAATTTTTGTAAAACTTCAGTTCGATTGATACGTATTGATATATCATTGGTTTATTTTTCATAGTTTGACAATGAAAAGATCATTAACATAGTAGATGTACTGAAAGGCATATATTTAATATATGACAACATATAACTGCACTGTAAATGAATATAAATAAAATAATAGGAATACATACAAAAGAGACAAGTACAAAAGACCTAACTAACTATATATTGGTAGTGTCATTTAGAAAATAGTTACCATCTTTTTCTTTTTATCAATCCAAACAATTCTACATTTCTCCAAATGGTTTTTGGATGGATGATTCGGTGGTGTGAATGAGTCGGTAGTCTGAAAATAGTCCCCCAATCCACGTCCTCTAACATGGGCAGTACTGGTTTACCACTTGAAGGATATGTACATCCTGGAGAACAAGGTTGGTTACATCTACAGGAAGGCATCTGTATTACAGGAAAAGCCTGAAGGCGGTGGTGCAGATCCAGGCAAGATGGGGGACATTGGACTTTATTTGAATAAAAATGTTTCTGCTCTAGTCTCACTCCATCTTCATCCCAAACTCTGAGGAGTTATATAAATTATAAAGTTATCATTGGTGAATGTGAATACTGTATTCATTTCAAAACAATTTTTCATTTAATTTGATCTATTTTGAATTTATAGATTTCCACTCCTTTGAAATTGAATATTCCAACAAATCAAATATTCCAGCGACTATGTGGTTATATTCCTTTTGGATTTTTTTTATAGTATACGAAGTCAGCAACCTTTGAAAATGAGAGATAACTATTTATATATTTTGATCACCAAGTGATCATCTTCAAAGAGGAAGATTATCGTGTCGAGGTGTTGAAAATAACAATTTGGTGTTGGGAAAAAACTCCAGTAATATTCATTACTACACCAAAGGTTCTAAACAGTGCATCATAAGTAACGTAAAGTGGTAAAGAAACATAAAACGTTTCAATTCTCTTTCCTTCATTATGGTTTCCTACCACGTAGTAACGGCTACATTCATCAATTGACCATTAAAATTGTTTTTGATGATGGAACTTAGGCGTCTGAAAGGAATCGTAGATAGAAATATAAGTTGTACTCCAATCTTGAAAAAACTGAATCATGATCTATCTTCATACGAAAATTCAGGCCCTATTAGCAGAGCACATCCTCTGTGCCTGCCCCATCGCGGTCCGAATCAAGTTTTTAGGGTTTGTCAGAGTCAAAAGTTCATCAGTTTCCTCCACAAAAAACTAAACACCACTAATATATATTGAAGCCAAGCAGAAAGTGATGTAGATCATCTATTTGTACGATCACCTCTAGATAGTTACTTCTATGATGTACTTGTAGCAGAGGACATTAATGAGTTAGTGATATTGTTATGTCATGTGTTTTTGTAGCACTATATCTTATAAATATGTATTCTATGGTGCCGCAGTTTATACTGATCGATAGAGAATTTCGTACTCTATACATTGATGTGGTTCATTTATTTTCAAATTTCCAATTTTTTCCTCTCTTCAATTCATTACTATATGAAGATATTAGGCGATTTTCAGACAATTTTCCTACAAGAATTCAAATTGAACCAAAGCGGTGTCAAAACAGCCAATAACATCAACCAGACATTCGGCAATGATAGTGTTAATGAACGCATTGTTTGATATTGGTTTGCCAAACTTCGTTCCGGAGATTTTAACCTTGAAGTAAAACATCCCGATCCGAAGTGATCGATCTACGGTAATCCAGGACGAGGATTTGAGGACCGTGATGGAAACTGACCCATCACAAACAGTGCGATGGATGGCGGAAGAACTGAGCGTCAGCTGCCATGCGGTTTTTGATGGTTCAAAACGTACTGGAGAGATAAAAAATCTCGAAATGTGGGTGATCCACGATTTGAATGATTGACAAAAATTGGCACGTTTCGAGGACTGCTCTTCTTTGCTTTTGCGCAACCAAAACGATCCTTCCTTGGATCGAATCATCACGTGTGATGAAAAGTGGATCCTCTACAACAGGAGAAGTTGAGGACAGTGGTTGGATACCGATGAGCCACCCAGGCACTTCCAAAAAGCAACAACACACCAAAAAAGACCACGGTCACTGTATGGTGGTCAGTGGCAGGTGTGATTCACTATAACTTTCTGCAACCGGGCGAAACCATCACAGCAGACTCTTTTTGTGAAGAAATCGACAAAAGATAACGGAAATTGCGTCAACAGGAGCCGGCACTGGTCAACAGAAGAGGTCCGATTCTGCTTCACGACTACAATCGTCTGCACGTTTCACAAATCATCGTCCAAAAATCAAACGAATTGAGGGTCGAAGTTCTGCCTCTTCCACCATACTCCCCAGAAATCTTGTCAACCGACAAGACCAGGCGACCAGGCGAAAACGTCAACTTCATCGAATCCTAAGCACACACTTTTTATGCTAACAGAATGAATCAACTTGTGTTACGTTGGCGTTTGAATTGAATGAATATTCACTGAAATATTACAGTTCAAAGTGGACTCATACAAAAGACAAAACTTTCGAAATAACCTACTATGTGTTTTGCAATATTCGTGCCTGTGTGATTTGCTATATTTTGGTGAAACATCAAAACTTTCCAGAGTGAAAGAATCTGAGAGGAGAGTAACATAAAAACGAAGATTTAAGAACATATTACTTGACAGATCATATTTCAACAATCGACGATACGTAGATGATGACTTGGTTCAAAACAAGTACCGTTTCCAAATACCGCAACACCCTTTTCGACGTGTTTCACTGACCAAGTTGGCATCTTGAGGAGATCAAGTACACTTTGAAGACGCCATCTTGTTTGGTGAAACGCGCGAATAGAGTACCTGTTTTAGATTCATTCTACGACAGACGTTCTACCTTTTATCTCATTTCTATATTGAATGTGGAACTTTCAAACCATTGACTCGTATCATAGTCTGCTAGATTTCTAATATCACAAGCAAAAAGTATAAAACAGATTTTGTCAAAATTGATAGTGAGTAGATAGAACAAGTTACGTTGGGAAAGTTATTTGAAAATAATAAAGACAAAACATCCAAATTCGAGAAATCAGGAGTGTATAAATTAAAGTGTGATACGTGTCCTAAGGTATACAAGGTGTAACATAAGTACGTTAAAATATTCAAGTGACGTATTCCTGAAACAATTTTAAGAAAATAAGTCCTTATGAACTTGTGTCCGATGNGCCTCATCTGTGAAAAGGATTTTTGATAAAATTTGCGGATGTTGTTCGACTTTTCTTTGTAGCCACTGAGCAAATTCGATACGTGGCTGGAAATCACGTAGCGTAAGTGCCTGGACACGCTGAATATGATGAGGATATAATTGCCGTATCTTTAAAATTCTGTAAACTGTTATGTGACTCACATTTAAAGTTTGACTAATTTTTCTTGAACTTGTCTCTGGATGTTCACTAATTTATTCGAAAACCGCCTCCTTCAGTTCTACAGTTCTTGTTTTCCGTGGCCGTCCTTCTGCAGAATTTGTTTAAAAGCTTCCAGATTCGGAAAGTCGCCGAAAAAGATTCGCAAATGTCGCTGCACAAGGAGTGACGTGTTGGGGAAACCTTTCCTGATAGACGCGTCTGGCCTCGCTTGAATTACCGTCAGTCAAGCCGTATGCAAAAACCATATCAGCCATTTCAGCATTCGAAAAGTCGAGTATGGTACAAAAAAATCACTCTATAAACTCCGAACTGTGGATTTGTCAATCAATAGTTAAAAATATGACAGCGAACTTCTATTTTCATAAACAAACTTTCATAGCCTACTCGATTTAATTAACTTAATTTGCAAGCCGAGACTGACAAAAATTATTGAAATCAAATTTGGCTATAACTTCCAGCGTTGTTGAGGAAGTGTACCTTTTTTACTTGAAAAAGGTGTGGGAATTAGGTTTTTTCATGAAAAGTACCAAAAGTTTACTGTCAAAAAGTTAGGGCAATTTGAAATAAATAATGATAGCGTACGCAGCTCCCTCTAGACGTTACATGAAAATTATTACGAAATTATGATTTCCCACATGAAAAGAATCCCGGTTACCGAATTTCGTGCAAATAACTCATTGAAAGCGAACAAAAACATTCAATTTCAACACCCCATATCTCTTAAACGAAGCATTTTCGGACACAAGTTCATATAGACTTTTTTTCTTAAAGTTATCTCAGAAATACGTCACTTGAATATTTTAACGTACTTATGTTATACCCTGTATATTGCTCAAACTGTCAGAACAACAACAACAACAGAACAGAAAACAAGTTCAACATATTCAAATCAATTTTTAGAAGGAAATCATATCTTTAACAAAGAGTTCAAAATTTTGCACACAGAAAACAAAGGTTTGAAACTGAATTATTTGGAAGCAATGGAAATTAACAAACCTAAATATTCGAACTACCGTTTCATTATTTTTTTGATTTTCAGGAAGAACAGGAGAGCAAACCCGTCAGATCATCAAACATCAACAAATTAGTTTTCCAAGTTTAAATATTCATTATTCTTTTAGTGATTGTATATAATAAATTCATTATCAAGAACCTTCAACGACACTGTAAGTTTTTTAAAGTGTCAACAAGAATAGGTACATATTTATGCAAAAGTTTATTGACTCATTAATGAGCGAAAATATGACAAACACTATGACACTCATGTACACGTTGAAAACGGAATTTGTGTGTTGAAGGGTGTTTAGCATTGAAATGTCTCAATTTGCCACATACATTTTGAACAGGTTTATTATTATAGGTTTATAGTTAATATTTTCTAACCGCAATTTGAAGGAAATTCTGAAAAAGGGTGCCTTGAAAAAAATACTATTTTCATTCATTTCTGAAACAGGTTGTCAACCATTTGATATGAAAGCTATTAACTGACCTCTTGTTATTTCACATTCAAGTAGTTACTGATAGCCAATAACAGATGAATGCTTTAATAATTCGAAATCGTTATTGCTATAAAAACGTTTTTCATTATGAACTATAAAAAGTGAAACGGGCACTAGATATATTGTAAATGTGAAATGATTATTAGCTTCTACAATAAAATTTTAGTTGAAAAAATATTTTGAATGATTAATATTTGCTTACCGTTTCCATTCTTCCACAATTGTGAAATAATTTACATTTTTTTTACATAGAAAACATTTCTTAGACGTCATCATGGTTCTAGTTCTCAGATAGGAGAATATTGTCTTATAAATAAAATAACCAAATATCTTTCGACGAAGTTTCGACTAAGAACACAAATATCTGAAAGAATACGAAACGGTCTGAATTTCACAAAAAATGATCGAGTTTTCAAAAAAATACACCCAATGGTATTTTGTTAGATACGACGAATTAGGCCCTATTCTCAACAACGTTGTCATGTCAACGTTATTCATCAAATCTCAAAACTATTTTTCTTGGGGTGGTTTCAAGCATCAGTCTCATGTGAAAAGTCGTAAATAGTTTGATCATTGATGTTCGAAATACTTTCAGAAATATATTATGTAACATAATAGAAAACTGCTGTATTTCACTCAATATAACAAACGAAATTTTGGATAAATGACTACAGGGTGTTTCAAATTTGATCCTGATCATTGCAATCTCGGAAACATTTACCTGACTAACAATATGTTTTTGAGAAAGTTCCGAAATTCTGAGTATATCCGGAGATATCCGGAAAAAAACAGAAATATCGGAAAATTATTTTTATTTGTTTCTGACTTTCGTTTTCAAAAGATTCGAAAATAAATTGCACTTCCACATTGCCATTTCTTCCCTGTTACATGATGGTGTTTTCAGATTTGCTATCTAACGTTTCGTCTTCCCGCCACTATCATCAACTTGATTTTTTCTTATGAGGGCTACATTGGATTCTTTCTGTTTTGAATAGAACCAGATTTTACTTTTTCAATAATGTTTGCAATAATGTTTGCAAATGTTTTTCAATGAGTTTGCATTTCATTAGTTCGAACTTCCATTGTCTAATATGATATAAATTGATTTGAAATCCCTGAAAGAATATGTAAAGAATTAAAAAAGATTATCTGAAAAATAACAATTATATCATGCAAAAAAACTGAAATTACAATGAAATAAAATACAAGCAACAACCAAAAAATAAAAAAAACATTAATACGAGATGAAAATTCAAAAATTATCAACAAGAAATGAAAATTAAAATTAAAAGATTCCAAGCCAAGTTACTTCACACCGTTTCGATTGTTAGTATCAATAAACGTCTTCGGGTGATAACTGGACTTATTTCTTCGAAATCTGACTATTTATAGGTCATTTGAGTGTTTTCACCTATCCCCTCTTCCCTCTCTCAGTTTCATCGATTTTAGCGGAAGCTGTCTATTTGCTCGTGTTCCGCTTGATTAGAGGTTTCCATATGTTGCGTATCTCTACGCTATTTTGGCTAAATGCATTGTTGGACAACATATATGCGGCTTCTTTGAATTTTCTCCTGAACCAGTGTTCCTCCTTGTGGATGAAATCATCAACATGATCATCCACAGCTAGCGTATCTCTACGCTAGCTTGGCTAAATGCGTTGTTGGACAACATATATGCGGCTTCGTTGTGTTTCTCCTTGTGTTCCTCATTCTACTTCTCCATCATACAAAATAAACTCTTCACGATGATGTGTAGATCATGCAAATAAATAACTTTCAGAAACAAACTGGAAGAAAAAATCCTTTCGAAAAATAGAAACATAGGAACACGAGAATTTTGAAACAACTTTTATCTGAACATTGTGTCTGAAGGTACTTTTTTGCATGATCTACGCATCTTAATAGAGAGTTTATTTTGAAATTGATTTATTCCCTCATTTATTTGAAAAATTTCCTCATTTTCTATATATGTTAGGAATCATACGTAAAGGTAAGACCTCGGTAAGCTAAGCTTGGTAAGAGAGTTGTCGTTCGTAGGGGTGCGACAGCTGGTTAACGGAAAAACAGATTTTGAACAGATTTTTGAACAGAAAGATGTAGAAGTAGAAAGCCAAAACCGTTCTTCAACAAGAACGATTCTCTTCTAAAAATATACCAATCTCAATTTGAACACGATTCCTATGACTGGGATTGAAATCTGTTCAAAATATGTTTTTTCGTTAACCAGCTATCGCACCCTTACAAACGACAACCCTCTGAAGTCGAAACTTGTGCGAGCTAAGGACTAACGAGGTCTTACCTATCAACGTGTGATTTTTAACATCGAATAAGCCAATAAATGTCATTACGTGCTGTCATGGATGACATGAGCAGATATTACTCATTCGTGATATGACGTCCAATTTTCATGGAAGAATTGAGTGATTCATCTTGTAATGTTATTCAGATTGGTGCTGAAGAGGCAATGAAACAAGTGTCTCATTTCGAAACATTGATGTCCGCCATGTGAGTGGAATTTTACTTTATTCATATGCCAAATTGCTAGCAATCCTGTTCTTTTTTTTCAAGACAAAACACAAGTACTGTAGGAAAATCTCAAGGCACTCTCAGAGCGGTGCCTGTGCGAAAGTAGCGATTTATATTGGATTTGAATGGCTGGAGATTTTATATCCATTTATATGGAAGTTCATTCCACATAAACGCNTATTCTGCTGGCTTTCGAATTATGGTGGGATAGTGCCCCAGCCGTAATCCTTATCATAAAATTTTCAGGACGGATCGTAAACAATGTGATTGCCCACAGTTTTTGAAGAAAATATGGTTTTCTACTCACATTTAATATGAAGTTTGTATTCACATTCACTTCACCAAACCTAATTCACTGTTTTGAAGAATTAATTTTTGTTCTGTATGGAGTTAAATGCAGTAGGTTGAGAGAGAAGAATTAAACGTTGTTTCACTATTCCACCGTGCACGTGATGTTCGCGTCTTCAGTTAGGCGGATGGCTCTTTTCTGGATGGAATTCAGGATATGTTTGGCGGCAGAGCTCCATACATGAGAACAATACTCCAAAGAAGATCTGATCTGAGCTTTATAAAGCATCAAAAGTTGCTGAGGTGTGTACAGTTTTCTGGTTCGGAACACTGTTCCACGCTTTTGAGAAGCAACCTTTGCAATTCCAGCGACATGATTGTGCCAAGACATATTAGTGTCCATTTTAACCCCTTATCAAAGTAGAAAGTGGAATTGTCTGACCTGACATCATCATATCCGGTTCAAAGACATTTATTTCTTTGGAGAAAACCGATGCCTGGGTTTCTTCGATGCCCTGAAATCCAAATGGAATGGAGATAAGTGTGATGTCGTCAGCAAAGCAATATTGTTGTTTTTTTTTAATGAGTCGTTGGTTTATAATAAAAAAAAGGGGTTAGAGACAATATGGATCCCTGGGGAACACCAGCAGCGTTGATGGTGAAAGTAATCGAGAGATATCCATCGACGGCCACTTGCAGGGAACGTTCTTTTAGAAAGCTGAAGAGCCATACATGGTTCGAATGCATAATGAATGTGTGGAGTACACATTGAATGAACAGTTTTTTTCATATATTCAGATATTTATATTGAAGAAGTGGTTTTGAACGTAATTTTTCTTTCGTGTAATTCAATGTTTATAGGAAAGTAGTTATTTCGAAAGAGCATTTTGTTTCAGTATGTATCTGATTGTTAATTCTTTGCATAATCTACACATCTTCATTCAGAGTTTATTCTGAAATTGATTGCTTTCTTTCTTTGAAAAATTCTCATGTGTTTTTGTACAAAGATAAACAAGTAGAAAGCTATAACCTTTATTTTCGAAAAATTGTTCTCCCTCAAATATATACCCCTTTCAATTTGGAATTATAGTGGTTATATAATTCATAAAATAAATTCATTCAATCATTTTCGTAAAGAATGGTACTTCATTCATCTACAAAGCATGAAGTAAGTTCACATATAATTGAATTATCAGTCTTTTCTTGGACCTCTGTCAACAATGTTCCCTTATCAAATAAATAATTCTAACGAAAACTTCTGTTGAGCCGTAGTTGAAGTTTATTTCCAAAGTTTCTCCATCATTTATCATACCCCTTATAACTTCATACTTTTTGTTCGGATCTGATGAAGTGAGTGAACTATATCTAATTTCTCTATAACTATCGAATCGAGAGGGTGTTATTTTTCACGACTTTCATTGTAAGTAATTCGGAAGCAATTGTTCTGGTAAATCTTTCATCAGATCTTAACTTTTGGTGAAATAACTCAGAGTAGATGGAGTTATGCACCCCGATGTGTTGTGGAATTTTACACGAGATTACACTCAATATCTGACACTCTCAGTTGCCCTATGGTATCCTAGGATAAGGATACAAAAAGTTGGTGTATATTTATTCTCATTAAAGTATGTGGTATATGAGCTGTCTGTTCAAAAACTAAGGAGAATTTTCATTATTCTCAAAAAAACATTTATTTATTAATAATTCAATAATATAACGTCCCTTCCAAAGTAGCCCCTCCTCAGCTAGCATACACTCATGCCAGCTATTTTTCTAATCCCGTCTGCTGTATTCTCTTATTGTCAGTGGTGAATAATTGTATAATTGGATGGCTATATAGCGTGGACCTCTTTTTGTATTTCTAAGTCTATGTATAAGAAGAATTAGGTTTGAGTTATGCCTAGTGAAGTACTTGTGAATGTTTTCATGAATGATGAATTTTTGTTCACTCCATATAGCAAGAAGTAATTTATCACTTTTGAAAATATTACGACACGAGTGTGAATGAAGTTCATGTTCAGCATAGTCTTTATAATACTTTTTCGCACGATGAAAATGTTATCCAAGTGAGCACTTCTACCACAGAAGATAACTTCGTATTTAAGAAGAGAATAGAGAATATCATAATATGCTGTTTTTAGTGCAGCTACATTCCAGTGACTTCTTCAAGCTCTAACTGCAGAACATTTGCTAACAAGTTTTTTTGCAAGATGCTGAATGTGCTCGTCGAAGTTCAGTTTGTCATCTAGATAGACCTTTAACATTTTTCTACATGGTGAAAAATGTAATTTTTCAAGGCCCATGTTCAAAAACTCTGGAACAGTAATGAAGGTTTCAACTCTTCTGAAAATTATTCGTTTAGTTTTGGCTATATTCAAAAGCAGTTCATTTTGAATGAAATATGTTGAGGCTGTAGATAGCAGATTAGTTATTTTCTATGCAAACGTGATATGCCGATATGATTATCAAATGAAAGATTTGAGATTTCGGAAAATAAATTGACGTCATCCAAAGTGGCAAATTTGACAAATTTTCAGCATCTAATGATGAATTTACGATACTTTTCTTTGGCCAATATTTT